AGGAACTTATTATTATCTTTATTTTTGTTTATTCTTGTCACTCATAAGATATACTTCGTATAAAACAATTATTTCCTCAATATCATAAAAAAAAAAAAAATCAAGGTGACCATAAAACATTTTAAACAATTTTTTTTTTTCTTCCAAAAGAACAAACACAAGACAGAGCAAAGAATCAAATGCCAAACATCCTTTATGTTCCAAACATGGCCCAGCATTTATTTAAAAATGAGTAAATTGTAAAGGACAGAACTTCCTCACCTCCTGGAACATTATAATCCAGCATCTGCAGGGGAAAAAAAAAAAAAAAAAAAAAAAAAAAAAAAAAAAAAGAGCATGTAAGAACCATATATACGACACCATAATATTATTTCAAAAAACGAAAAAGGCAGTTTAAAATTCAATGATTTTACAGAGTTATTTTTTACTTCTTTATTCACAATTAGGCACAAAAAGGTTTAGTAATTGCATTCAAACTTTAACTACCAAAACTCTAAAACCCAAGAACCCCACTTTATATCTTATGATTTCCTATGCAAATAGTCTCACATTCTTGATTCAATAGCATCAGCACTCGAAATTGCTAGAAGACATGATTAAATACATAGAGAAGTCTAACTAAAATCATCTTAAGAGACGATAATTAGGTTCAAATCTGTGAACCAGGAGGCAGGGGTGTCAACATTATGGACATGTTAAGTCGGTACAACTAAGGCTGCTCTAAGTGGCTTCAGAAGTTAACTGTTGATCGGATTATTCTTCAGATTAGATATGAATTAATACAGTGATAGGTTCACTAAACTATGCTAAACGGTACGCCACGAGGTAGAAAGGATAGCTTGTTTAAAGTACACCAAAATCTAAGCAAGTTTTTCTTAGGCAAAGTGCTATAACTTGGATGACCTTGCATTATCTAGCGTACTTCATTTACTAATGTTAATGATAATTTATAAATCTAGTTCTAAAAATGGAAACTCAAGAAAATCTACAACTTATTGGAACATATTTAAGAACAAAAATTCAAAATATTATTAATATTTTTAATTAACCAAACATAGACTAACATAAATGCTATGATTTTCAATGGTTTCTCAAAGACTGTAGATCAGACAATTAGGCATATTAATTTGCTAATTGAAACACATTGCGTCAATAAATAACATAAACATTAAATAAAACTAATCAAAAGCTAAATCATGCAATTTGCTACACAAAAACAAGAGTAATGAATAGTTTAAATTAAACAAAAAATACCCAGATCAATTAATCAATCTAAAACAGATTAATCTATCAGTAAACACAAGAAACTATTGACTAATTACAAAAAAGGTAGATAATCCTCTAGAAAAAAAATTCATCAAAACCCCATAAAAACAAAATTAAATTGCAAATTAAAGGGAACAAAAAGTGAAATTAAAGAAATTAATAGGTACCCTGTCAACCCATTGGCGAGAAGTGTCAGTCCATTCAAAAGCAGGATCATTGAGAAGCTCAGATTTAAGAATTTGATAAACATCTAGGAATTTTGACCTCAGATCGCTCATGTTTCTCTTCTTGAAAAATAATCAGTTTGTGAGAGAGAGAAAAAGAAGAGAAGAGAGAGAAATAAGAGGTAAGGAAATCGAGAGTTGTTCTTGGGTTTTTTTTTTATATAAGCAGAGTCAAATTTGAGGTTGGACAAATCAGAATTCACGAGGGAAGCAAGGAGCAAGAGCAACTGCCTTGGTTGGTGAAATTAACTTGACCCGAATGACCCGACTATGAATGGCACATAGTATATAAGACTAATAATTGCAATAAATTACCCGATTAAATGTTGATGACGCGGAGTATATGAATTCGTTATAGGATTCAATAGGAATTATAGGATTTTATTTTGATTGGTGAAATTAGCCTGACCTGAATGACCGAATTAAATATAAACAATACGAAATAATCGAATTACATATAATGAATACATAGTATGTTAATAGAATCGAATATGATCTTATTTAATTTGACTCAATCTAATCGTAGTATACAATGTAAATCGAATTCAATTGAAGTGACTCGTTTGCTACCTCGGATTGACTATTTTTCTATCTTTATTTTGGAAACATAAAGGTCCCATATTGTCAATATAATTGGGCTTTCTTTAGTGTTTATTTTCCAAATTTGACGTTTGATTGAATATAAGAGAGTGGCAAAATTGTAAATTTGGGCAATTATGGGGGTATGGGAGTCACTTGCTTTCCTCGCTAGACGATAAATATTAAATAACTACTCCATTTTTTGACTCTACGTTGCACGTGCTGCATGAACTTCTCGTCCTCCTCCAAACGGCGTCGTCTACTACAGTCAGCTCTACCATTAAAAAGTGCCTGACAATCTGTCATTGATATTTTCTAAATTTTTTTATTTTTTACAGCAAATCAGTTCAGATTATGTGATATCAATGCCAGAATCAATCAGCAAAATCCAAAATGATCATAGATCTAACAATATTATTTGGTCCTGTTAAAAAAAAAAAAAAAAAAAAACACAATATTTTTTGGGTGTAAAGAAAACAATGATAAATTGATAGAATACGAAATTCGTATTAGTGAGTTTTTTACCTAAGTGATTAGGACTGAACTCTGATTGAAGGCCTATGTACCATGAGTTATAGGTTCAAATCTTAAGAAAGATGTCAAGATTTCTAAGAAGGTCAAGAACATCGGTTTGGAGCGCGCACACCAAAAAAAAAAAAAAAGAATCTAATCGAATTGGACCAGACCAATAAATCTGTAAAATCTAAAAGATCCAACATAATTTTTTATTTCTTTGTAAATAGATCAGCAAGAGCAATGATAATTACGTACGAGATGAATAAATATATATGCATCCGATTGACATCCCGATGTTTTAGATTAATAATTAAATATAGGAAAATGTTATTAAGTCATCAAATCAATTTAATTAAACATTAGTAATTACGTACATTGATTTACATGTAAATTTCTCATGTATCCTCAAATAAATACGTACTAATTTGAATGTATTAGATACTTTTATTGTTATATGCACTGTGGTTTGCGATGGACCGAGAATGTTGAGCTCAATCTGATGAGATTATAATATACATCCAGGTGCACGGTGCACCAAAGAGTATATTTACTTTTTTATTTTTTTTACTTATTTAATTAATCATCAAATGAGCAATAAATGATGACTTAAAATAATCTTGGGTACATGCACTTAAAACCTGAGTGTATATACAAAATTTCACAAGGCCAAAGGATGAACTATTTGATTTTTCAATTATATAAACAAGAGTTGACTTAACAAGTGTCCATAAGCACATATTGAAAGAATCAAACTTAACATAAGAAATGTTAGTTAAGTAGTTAGATAATATAAATCCAATCTCAGCTCCGACCCAGGAGAATAAACCCGAATTACTATTTTAATTATGGAGGTTGCCACGTACATGCATAAAATAAATTAAGGGTATATGTAATATTTTGATTCCAATGTTTAAACTAAAGGGTGCATGGTCCCATTAACGCAAGCATATAAGATTTGTCTTCCATAATATAATTTTGCATAATTAAAGCAATAATTCTCCACATTATATCATGTGACGAAGTGGATATGGGAAATTTTCCACTAAGATGGGCAAAATAAAGCAATGTGATTCGTACTTCCTCTTTCCAGCAAATGTAATGCAAAAAAAATAAGAAATATACTAGTAGAATATGTCGCTCTTTTTTGGTGACAAAGAATATATTTGGCATTTTATTAAAAAAAAACTTTCAATATTTTATGTATAATTAAAGATATTCATCTTTAGGAAGATGTTTAATTAATTAATCACATTCTTTGTACTTTGGATAATCATACTTTAAATCTTCAAGGAAATAATAATATTGATGTTGCATAAAGAATACTAAGGAAGTTAGGAGCTATTTTTTTCCCTCTAAAAAAAGGAGCTACAATTATATTGGAATATAGCCATAGGAGACATTTTGCTCATCACACCATGCAAAAAGCTAATCAAAGATCGAAATTGAAGGAGAAAAGATTGCAGGGAAATAATTAGATGTATATAACGAAAAAATAGACAATGCAAAATATTATTCTTATGTAGAGAGAGGTGATTGTTAATGAATTAAATTTACATACTATTCAAAAAAAAAAAAAAAAATGTAGAGAGATCATGAGAACGTTGCCTATTATTCCAATTGGAATGAGATCGATATAATAATTGATGAAAATTCATTAAGGCTCTATCTATTATATTTGCCTAAGCTATTTGGTGACAAGAGGTTAGCTCTTTTTGTATGATTAAGCTAGTTTGACTAATAGATTGTGTGAGTTATTTTGACTAATTGCTTGTATTAGATGTTTGTGTAAAAGTGTGTAAATTAATTTGGTATAAAGTAGTTGTTAGATGATAATGTATTATAGGACCAATAGTGAAATATGCATAATTTAATTAATATCAAGTATATGCTTGAGCAAACTAGATAAAGGTTAGTAATTAAATTAGATCTACTTTAGAATAGAATAGTCATTTTTCCTTCAAAGGCTTCAATGACCACAAATCTCTCTTACCAAAAATCTCCTATTACTAGCTTTTCAAAATTTACCTTTTGGACTCAAATCTCTGTATATCAATCCTCTGTCAACCAAACACTCACATTAGAAGGTTGACTAGTTTTGGATTAGTCTATTTTGCCCCCTGACTTGCATAACCAAATTAAAAACCCCTAGCTATATAAATTGAAAATTATGTGGTTAGAAGAATTTTGATTTATCTATTTTTGTCTTACAAGATTCCAAATAGATACAACAAAAGTGAATGAGATAATTATTAGTTCGTGAAATGCTCGATATAATCACTCAACTGTATGATGAAAATCAATTTTGTAGTTTTATTAACCACACAAACAAAAGTAACTGTAAAACCTTTAATATGAACTTAAAAAATAAAGCTTTAAAGACACACACCCAAAAAAAAAAAAAAAAAAAAAAAAACAGATGTCATTAACTTTTGTATACATATACTCGTATATAAGAGGATTTCATGATGAAATTGTTACATTCCTCATAAATTTATAGACAATCTATATAATATACTATATATACTCTTACTTTACAATATATGGTGAAAAAGTAGTTGTACAATGAAAGTAGTGTATACCCCATTTTATAATATACTTCATATAATTAAGCTATTATAAAGAAAAAAAGGGTGTATAGTTTCTCGTTAGTATTTTGTAACAATATATCAACAATTAACCTATATATAAAGGCTTTGATCAATCTAAACATTGTTTACATAAAGGACAGCATGATATAATCCTAAGCCATTGGTCCACACATTTTTTGTGGAAAATATGTGAACATGGCAATTGCCTTATCTCTTCTTTGTCCTTGTATTTTGTCAAGCATATACAACACTCCTGCAACATTAATTAAGCATTTAATTAATTTTAGTGCTAATTATCAAGTAACTAATAACACACAAGTTAATAAAGATCCCATTTTCTTCACCTAATTTAGACTGATTTTTACATAATAATATTGATTTTTAGTGAATAAAGTAATTTTTACTGATTAAAAACTAATATTACTTTGTATTTATTTAAGTTGAGGAAAAAAAAGATATCTTAAGGTGAAATATGTACAAGAAATTTGTGGAAGATTCTTTTTGTAGAGAAGCTTTTTTTTTTTTTTTTTTTTTTTTTTTTTTTTTTTTTTTTAAATACGGCAGACTCTGTGTTTTTTTTTTCTTATACTCCGACCCGTATATCATTAAGTTCATGCATGGTTGTCAAAGTTTTAAGTTCGGTTCAGTTTCCTTATTATTTTCACTTATTTCAATTTTTTTTTATGAAAAAAAAAATCTTAAAAAAAAAAAAAAAAAAAAAACCAGGGTTTCAATGATAAGGGTTAATAAGGATTACCAAAGTTTAATTTACAGCTAAAATAGGTTTTTATATGATTTAATAAGATCAAATAAGTAAAATCAGGTGAATAAACCGCATCTTTAAGACTTTAACTAGACAACATGCCATGTATGAATAGTAAATGAGACGAACAATAATGAAAGGAGGTGAACTTACTGGATTGTCCTTAGTAGGGGAGGAATTCCCAGCACCTAAACTGGTCTCAACCAATTTATATCTCCAGCAATGTAACTGAGATATTTGATCATCAGATGCTCCCTTTTCAGCAGAACCCAAGTTCATATTATAGCCAATGAAGCTACTAATTAATGGAACACAAATGCAAAGAAGAAGAAAAAGAAGGAAAGGAAAGGAGTAAGTTATGGCATTCCAAGACAATATGATTATGCAAAGGATGTGAAGCTTTGGAGCTCGGTTGAAGGATCCAAATCGCGAGTCGAAAACCCATACATTCCCCATCACAAACCACATTGCAAAGAACAAGTCTAGAGATGCCCTGCATCTGTTCACCAAATGCAAGCCCCTGCCCAAAACCATGTATAAACACCAATAATATATCAGCATACTTTGTACCACATCAATCTTATTAAAGTTTGTAAGATTATTAACTTAAAATGTGTTATTTTTGCATACTAATCTATAAACTAATTAAGATAACATGTAATGATGTTTTATATATGTGCTTGCATGCATTTAGTAGGTATGGCATGTACATTATTTAGATTAAAGTAAATCCACATGTAATCATGAACTAATCATAAAATATCATTAAAGTTAAACATATGCATGCTATCCATGGATTTAATAATATTATCTAAAACTATTACAAGTACAATTCTTTTAAATTTAATTTCTTGCATTGACACTAGACAAGACTAAGTAATTAAGTATGCAACAAAATAATAAAATGTGATGTACTTGATAAGTAATTTTGAATTAGACATAAAAAGTACCTTGGTTCTTCATTGTTTCGTTGTTGTTCCAAATCAAGAATGTTTAGCCCATTATTTCCTTGTACCAAATGGTAATGCCTATACCTCCAATATAGGATAAAAAGGTTCATAACACAACCAAAATCATACCCAACAATCCATATTCTCATAGGCCAAACAGGCCTCTCTTCCTTAGAAAAACATAGTGTAATCAAAGTAACACATATTTGAATAACAAGTGCTAGAAATTCAAGCATCATCCAACTACAAGAATTAAAAGGGTTTTCTCCAAGGTGAGATCTTGATCCATTTTGGTAATGAAAAACCCTTCTAAGGAATGTAAACCACTTTGCTCGCGATACCCTCATTGCCATCCTTACAACAAATGAAGCCGGAATTTCCCTAACCAGCCTTATTTGATCATTACTACTTGTAAAAAGGGCTTCATGCGCGGTCTCATCTACTCCACCTTCTCCTCGTGTTTCACCACGTAACAAACTTGATGATGAAAGTGGAATATGTACATGATTAGAAAACCCCATCTAGGAAAAAATAAAAATGAATGCTAAGCTAGCTAGCTTAGCTATTTTCGACGAGCTAAAGAAGCTCGAGGATTAGTCGAATTATTATTATTATTATTATTATTATTATTATTATTATTATTATTATTATTATTAATGAGTTGATGATCAGAGGAATTCATTTGTAGCATTTGAAGAAAGAGTGAAATTTGAAGAATAAGAGAGGAAGGTGAAGTTGGGTTTTAAGATGGTGACCAACAACCCAACAAAACCTTTGCTTTGATAACAAGGGTATCTTAGAAGGTTATGTATTACCCATAATATTAAGAGGAATTGGTGAGATTGGATGGATTTTGAAATTGACGTAAAGGGAATTTCCTACAATAACTGTTGGCCTAACAAATTTAATTATATTTATTATGTTCATTATTTATTTACGTAAATCACCAAATTAGTTATTAAATTAAATCAACAAATTATTATCTAATCTTTTATGTAATTGAGCTTATAAGAGTAGTTAGGATTTGGGTATGGTTCTGTTAAATGGATTTGTCAGAGATGTATTAGCAAATCAAGTTTCATGTTTACAATATTTAGTGTCATTTTCAAAATAATAATGGAAAGTGAAGTAGGAATTTTTATTTTTATTTTTGTGTTTTCGAGTTTTGGGAGGGTTTAGTGGGTGTTTAAGATGATTAAGTTGGCCAACTAACCCAACCTGCAGTAGTTTGGATTATACTTGGTGCATAAATTAGCATGGTTGTTCTATTTTCTTAGATTATTTGCACCTGAAGTTGCTACATAGAGTTCATACTTAAATTGTGTCCTTGTCATGCATTTTCGATCACTACATATGGTTGAGATTTTATGTCATTCTTTGATTCTTATACATGGATATGTCCTACCTTCATACATTCCCTCTATCTCGCTCTCATGGAATTTTTGGGTTGATACAGTAAAGTTACGTAGTTCACTAACAATATGTTAACTTTAAGTAGATGAGAGTTTTATTAATCTCGAATATATACGAAAGATGTATATGGTTCTAAATATGTGATTTGTTCAGAGAAAGTGACTATATTTTTTGGAAGTAATTTAGTTAACTAAGTTAGGATGTAGAAGTAGAGCCCACCACACCCTTTTACTTCATTTTTAGGTGGTTCAATTTTTTTTATTTTTTTTATTTGCTAAATAAAGGTTTTCATTCATTATTGGGTGGCTTTGTGTCTTTATGGATATGACTAGTAGATGTGAGTTTAGAGAGAAACTTCTAGCAATTTGCAAATGTGATATGCGAAACCTAATTCAAAAGTCATTCTCTACTAATTAATCTGTGAGTAGTTTTCCTAAAATATACTCTCTATAAAAGTCATGTCATATGCCTAACATCATATAAAAGTTCTAAGAAAATAAACTATAAAGGAACAAAAGACAAATCTCACCAAATTTTATACTCTCTTGGATCCTTTATTTGTTCTTCTTACTTTAATATAAGTACGTGTATGTGCGTGACTGAGTGCTCTCTTGGATTCCTTTTTGTTTTTCTTACTTTAAAGTACGTACATACGAGTGTGTGTACGTAAAGAAGGCACTGGGCCTGGCCAGCCCAAAGCCCGGCACAAAAAAAGTACGGCACGATATGGACACGAAAAAAATACGACACGGTTTTGTGCATGTGGGCCGTGGGCTGCCTTTACTTGGAAAAAACATGATAAGGCACGGTACAGCCGGGCCCGGCATGACAAAGCATGCTAAAATCAATGCAATTTTGCTTAGACACGTTAGGCCGGCACGATGGCACGTGGGCCTAGGCCGTGCACGGGCCAACCTTTTGAAAACTTCGGCACGTCATGGCCTGGCATGAAACTCGTGGCCGAGCTATGGGTCGGGCCTAACTAACCCCAAAGCACGTGGGCCTGCACGAGGCACGACCCAAAGCCATCATCTTTATGTGTGCGTATGTGTGCACGCATGTGTGTACAGTGTAGAGAGAGCCATTACGTATGTTTAATAAATATTTTTAAACACTAATATCTCCATTTTCATATGCTTTAAAAATTGTTCTCTAATGAGATCCCGACTACAAAACTAAACTATTTATTATAAATTTATGAAAACTCATGGTCAAATTGATAAACCCCAAAATATTGGAAAACTAGATGGAAGCCCGTGCGATGCACGGTTTTTTCATCTAAGATTTTAAATTATTTGATTTATTGTATTTAATAATTTCAGACAAAATTACAAAAGTTTAACATTTATTTTTTTTACTGTAATTTATAATGAATTTATTAAATATAAATAAATTTTAAATATGATTTTTTTTTCCGTTATATAAAATCTTTATTGTGAAATGATAAATTTTTAATAACTTAAATCCTAAATCATTATTTTACCATCTTTTATTCGATAGAATCACCAACCTCGTCCACAATATAAAATCAAATCTATGCATTGGAATTTTTTCATCATCTCCAAAAATAACCAAACCATCCATATATTATGTATATAACATCTAATCGTATGTCATTACATAAACAAATAACCGTTAAGTATCCTAAATAAATACAATGTAACTAATAATTACAAATATAAATTTAAACATAAGGTTTTAAAAATTACCCAGACATTAATGACCTAAAACTAACACAAAATTACTAACACAAAATTCGCTTGATGGAGTTTTGTATTGATACGAAATTTATTTGTGTTGTATGATGTGTTAGGTTTGCATGTAAATAAACATTTAGTAAATAAAACATAAACATATAATCATTGAGTATCCCAAATTAATATGATGTAAGTAATAATTAGAAATACTACTTTAAACATAAGATTTTAAAAATTAAGCTTAAAATTACCCGGCCATTGATGACCAAAAATAAACACAAATTTCGCTTGATGGGGTTTTTTTATTGATACGAAATTTTGTTTGTGTCATATGATGTGTCAATTTATAATGGTAGATATCATAAATTTTAATTTAATTATAATTAACAAACAATTTGTATTTCTTATCATAAATACAATCAAAATTTATCTTATAATGATATGTATCAAACTTTATTATAAGCGTTTATCATTTAAATATTTTTTAGTATATTTTTTTTGGATTTCTTATACTCGTAGTATTTAATTAATAAATTTATCTTTTCCTATAGTTTTACTTTATTTTTTTCATTAAAATAATTAAATTCGTGGATTATAATCTACGTGTCATTAAAATTTTAGATATATCAAATCTAATTCGTTACTTTTATGTAGGTGACGACATAATTTTTTAATTCAAAAATAAAATACAAATCTTTCTTCCTATTGTTCGAAATAAGTATATTTCTTACGTGGCGCTCCGAATGCTCTCCAAAAATGCCTATTTTATTTATATATATTAGATTAGATTATTATTATTATTATTGTTATTATTATTATTATTATTATTATTATTAAATAAACTTTTGAAAATCACTCTTGAAAATTGTATAAAATTATAGGGTTAAATTAAGAAAATAATCTTTTCATGAGATTTATGTAAAAAAAGATGTGCATCTAAAGTGATGCACGGTTTTTTCATCTAATATTTTTAATTATTTGATTTATTATATTTAATAATCTCAGACAAAATTACAAAAGTTTAATATTTTTATTTTTTTACTATAACTTATAATGAATTTATTAACTATAAATAAATTGTAAATATGATATTTTTCCGTAATATAAAATCTTTAATATTCGATAGAATCACCAACCTCTTTGATATAAATTAAAATCCTATGTTTAAATGGAAATACTAATCATTGTTTTAACAGTATTGGTAAACATAGAAATACTAATTTAAACACAGGTTTTTAAAATTTAAGCTAAAAATTACCCGGCTATTGATGACCAAAAGTTAACACAAAATTAATAACACAAAATTCGCTTGATGGAGTTTTTTATTGATACGAAATTTTGTTTGTGTCGTTGATGTGTCAATTTATAATGGTAGGTATCACAAATTTTAGTTTAATTATAATTAACGAACAATTTGTATTTCTTATTATAAATACTATATCAAAATTCATCTTATAATGATAGGTATCAAACTTTGTTATAAGCGTTTATCATTTAAATATTTCTTAGTATATTTTTTTGGGTTTCTTATACTCGTAGTATTGAATTAATAAATTTATCTTTTCCTATGTTTTTACTTTATTTTTTTCATTAAAATAATTTATTTCGTGGATTATAATCTACGTGGCATTAAAATTTTAAATATAACAAATCTAATTCGTTACTTTTATTTAGGTGACGACATAAATTTTTAATTCAAAAATAAAATACAAAACAAAATTCGCTTGATGGGTTTTTTTTATTGATACGAGATTTTGTTTGTGTCGTATGATGTGTCAATTTATAATGGTAGGTATCACAAATTTTAAGTTAATTATAATTAACGAACAATTTGTATTTCTTATCGTAAATACTATCAAAATTTATCTTATAATAATAGGTATCAAACTTTATTATAAGCGTTTATCATTTAGATATTTTTTAATAAATTTTTTTTGGATTTCTTATACTCGTAGTATTGAATTAATAAATTTATCTTTTCCTATATTTTTACTTTATTTATTTTTCATTAAAATAATTTAATTCGTGGATTATAATCTACGTGGTATTAAAATTTTAGGTATATCAAATCTAATTCGTTACTTTTATCTAGGTGGCGAGATTATTTTTTAATTCAAAAATAAAATACAAAATCTTTCTTCTTATTGATCGAAATAAGTATATTTTTTACGTGGTGTTCCAAATGCTTTGCAAAAATGCCTACTTTATTTATACATATATATATATTAGATTAATCAAAATAATGCAACTATTACTTTTTTTTTAGGTGTATGTAGAGAGGGCCTCAAAGACAAATGATGTAGACAAGATTAATTTTAGGTCTTGGGTGTCACCCTTTAAAGCTTTAACCAACTAATCTAGTTGATCATCCATAGTTATTACTACATGTATGATAAATTAGAATTTTGCTTTCTTATAGGCTTTGTTTGTTTTAGCGGAACACAATGTTTTGGGAAAATGATTCTCCATGGAAAATAATTTTCAAGGGTAAACACAATTGTAAAAATAGTTTTCATTTGTTTGTTTCTTTACAAAAAATTATGTAGTATATAGGAAGGGAAAACTAGGGGTAGAAGGGAGAAGACGGATAAGAGGAGATATAAGGAATTTAAGAACGAAGTATGGAGGAAAATATGGCATACCTTCCTTTTAGAAGAAAAACATTTTCTACTATTGGAAGATCTATTTTCATCCATTCACTAACCAAATAATGAAAAATGAAAAAATAAAAAATCTAGAAAAATATTTTCTGTCAAATCAAACGGAAGGGCATTCTTTGGAAAGTTGCAGGCCGCTTGAGGTATAGAGTCTTGGTGGATCCAATTCCTTTGGACAAAAGCTGTCATTTCTAATAGTTGGGCCTTTTGGGCCTTCATAAAAATTGACCCGTTAATAAATTATTTAGATTGGGGGCTCAAAAAAATAATTTCTCATAAGTGCACACGCCGAATTTGAGTCAATTATGATCTGAAGATTTCTCATTGCACACTAATATTGACAAAAAAAGACAATTACTTCGTGTAATGAAACCACCGACTCGCATAGTGTTGGTTCATGCATGTCATGACCATGACTTAAACAAACGCCATTATCAAATAAAAGTCACATCTAAATAAGAAAAAATAATTTATTTATTTATTTATTTATAAAAATATAAGCGGCATGAAGAAGCCAAAAAGATATGTAATTTGAAAAGTATAAGGTTCCCAAATGTCAAGGTTGGTGTAGTTTTTATTATTAAAATGACTTTAAAAAAAAAAAAAAAAAAAAAAAAAGATAAAGAATTGAGTGATAAAGACTCGTTTATCAAATAAGCTTGATTATATATATAGTCCCGTTCAGGCTCAAATTTGACTAATTAAAATTCATATGAGCATAGTCACAAGCTAAGATTAAAAAAATCAAACAATTAACATGTAAAACTAGAACAAGAATTTTAAATGCTCATTCAAGATAAGCCAAACGTTTAATTCTTTCAAGCTTAAATCGAACATATACTAAAACTCAACTCGACGCTCATTTGCCAAATTGCAAATTAGTTTTTCTAACCCAGATAATTAAGAGACTGCACATTAAGTCACTTGCTCTATACCTAGGAGTACATGCCTTTGCGCATCTAGAATAACACTTACTTAATTAATCACTTTAAAAGTTAATACAAAACGATATTACAGTATCATTTCATAATTTTTAATTTTTTTTTTATTTATTTATTTTTTTTTTTTTATAATTATAAGCATCAACAAAGTCAAATTCAGAAAGTTGAAACATCTAATCATATCACTTGATATAACAATTTCTAGAGTTTTGGTGACAATAACAGCATATTAATTAATTAATTGTAGAAATCGAAAATTCAAAATTGCATGAACGTAGTATGCTTGATGTCTTGGTCTAGAACTCTTAAGAGTCTTAACCCTAAATTTCTAATTACTTAGCCAATTTGTGTTTGACGTCTCTTGCATTAAGACACATTATCCAAGTAAGTAGTGACGTCATGATTAAAATAATGCATTAATATTGAATAGTAGTGCTCATAAAATTCAAAGAACAATTCTCTTAAATATGGAGTAATTATTATTATTCTTCCTCATGTTTGTTTCAATTAATTAATTTCCGCTCTCATTATAATTTGATACACAAAAATCTTATTATCATTATTGTAGAATATACGAGTAATTATTATGGAGATTACCTTAAGCAAAATTGCAAGCTCCTTGGTGTGTACTATCATCATAGCATGGGTTTGGAAGACATTGAATTGGATATGGTTGAAGCCAAAAGCACTCGAAAAACGCCTTACAAAGCAAGGATTACAAGGTCACCCTTACAAGGTGTTGCATGGTAACACCAAAGAAATTGCTAAAATGGTGAACGAAACCACTTCCAAACCTATGGAGAGCTTTTCCAATGATTATATCCCTCGGATCTTCCCTTTCCATCTTCAAACCATCAAGAGTTATGGTATGTTTATTACTCCATTCGTCTTTTTATAAATGTTATGTGTGATTGCATATTACGAAATACCTTAAATCTATTGTAGATTTGTGTTGTCTTTCTGAAGAATTTTTATAATTATGGCCCCCTTTCTCATTAACTTGCAAAGGAATATATAGTACCCTAGAATTAACAATAATCTAGGAAGATAGAATTTGACTATAATACAGGATAATATATCCTAACAAATATTTCATAAGATAATATAATTCCCAAAAATATATTATACGATATTATCTCATTACTTTCCTGACTTTTGGTCTATTAATTAATTCCTTGTATTTTAAGGGTATATTTAAGTGTATAATAATTGAATATTTTTTTGGCATGCATACATGTAGGTGAAAAATCATTTGTATGGGATGGACCAACACCTACGGTGATTATAACCAAACCCGAAGAAATAAGAGAAATATTCATGAAGATTTATGATTTTACGAAGATAATACCACACCCATTTGTAAAAAGGATTACTAATGGTTTAACAAGGCTCGAAGGCCAAAAATGGGCTCAAGACAGAAAATTGCTCAACCCTGCTTTCCATATGGAGAAACTAAAGGTTCGTTTTTATCGTATTTTTATATTTTTCGTGTGTATGTAGATTTATTGAGGCACAAAGAGTAGATCATAAAGCGAGATTTGATCTTAGATTTTAAATCTAGTTAATAACTGACTGTATTGATTATAGTCATATACAAAGTATGTATACTACTACTAGATTACTAGTATATAATACGGAGTAATAATATAAAACCTACAACTAAACCTAGATTTGGAATACATATTTCTATATTATTTTGGAATTAGGGAGGTTTTATTCAATTAATTATATTGCTTATTATGATTTTGGAATTGTTTTAGCATATGGTGCCAGCATTTCAAGCGAGTAGTAACACCATGATACAAGAATGGGAGAAGATGACATTGAAAACAGGATCGAGTGAGCTCGAAATCTGGTCGTATTTACACAATCTATCTGCAGACGCAATCTCTCGTGCAGCATTTGGGAGTAGTTTTGAAGAAGGAAGGAGAGTGTTTGAACTTCTTAGAGAACACATCTCAATAACTACTAAATCCATACAGTCAGTTTATATCCCCGGATCTAGGTACGTAATTGCATTGATAGATATTAATTTGGTTGGTTATTGGTTAGTTGTCTAACTTTATTATACACATTAATTAATATTTGACTTTTCTTACTAAAATAATGTACGTGTACCCTTTACATTGATAAGTTCGATAACTACAACTGTAACTATTTCCTACCAAATAGGCCATAACAATTATATATACATGGACGCATGGCTAAGAATTAAACATATACATGTTGTGTCGTGTTTGATGTAACTAAATGTATTGACTAGCTATTGGCTGAGTTTAATAACCCTTTTTATCGGTTTTTAGGTTTCTCCCAACGAAAACAAACAAAAGGGAGGCGGAAATTCTCCATGAAATGGAGTCATTGCTAAAAGAGATGATTCGAAGGAGGCAAAAGGCAATGGAGAATAATGGAGAAGCAGCTAAAGATGATTTGCTAGGGTTATTACTCAAATCAAATGTAGAAGGAATACAAGATCATCAATTTTTACATGGAAATAACAAACAACAACATTTTAAAATGGGTATGAAAGAAATAATTGAAGAGTGCAAAATGTTCTATATTGCTGGACAAGAAACCATTTCAACATTGTTGGCATGGACCCTTGTTTTGTTAAGCAAACACCAAAATTGGCAAGAACAAGCTCGAGAGGAGATTATCGCGATTATCGGCCATGATACACCTCATTTAGATGGCTTAAATCAGCTGAAAAAGGTATTTACTATACATTTCTATAATTTTGAGCAAATTGACTATTTAAATTCATAATTAGTTGGGTTGCTATACTAAAATAGTATCACTACTTTAACCATTAGAATTAACAAAATTTATTTGGGATGAGATAAGTTAAAATTACTTGCTAGTCATGCATGAAATAACCCAACCTAAATGTACGTTTAAAGATAGATCTTTGATTGTCATCACAAAATAATAACCTGTTAATTCATAATTTTACATTGTTAAAAATGAGATCATAGTATTTTTTTTTTTAATAAAAAATTGTTTAGGCAAAGGATGATTTTTGACTACCCATTAATATGTTGTTAAGCTAAGAATAGAGGAGAGAAAGTCCACAAACATAGCTAAAGTGAGGTACAATCTTAAAATCAATTGAAAATATGATCTTAGTAGCTCATGCAGGTAGGTTATTAACCAACCCAAAACTGATCCCTAAATCCGGATTAGCCCAAAGGATGAACCAGGTGAAACACAAAAAAAAAAAAAAAAAGGTTGGTTACAAACCATTTAGGTCTTTTTACCTTTTTAAGGGTACATTCTAACCCATTTTGGTCATCATTTCGTCTTTCAATTAACAAGTTAAGGGATAAATATACTCGCACTTGTATCTAACAGTACATATATATGTCGTCGTTTCTTGGGCTTTAATTTGTCTAGGTGAACATGATACTTCACGAGGTTCTACGACTATATCCACCAGTACCTTCACTTACACGGAAAGTTTCCCATGAAATGAAAGTAGGAGATACAATTCTACCAGCTGGTGTACAAGTCAAATTATCACTGATTGATGTTCATCAAAGTGAAAAATATTGGGGTTCTGATGCAAAGGAGTTTAACCCAGATAGATTTTCACAAGGGATTTCGAATGCAACCGGAGGAAAGATGTGCTTCTTCGCATTTGGATGGGGGCCTCGCATATGCATTGGATCGAATTTCGCGATGATGCAGGCTAAAATGGCGTTGGCAATGATTTTGCAACGTTTTTCCTTAGACCTCTCACCATCTTATGAGCATGCTCCTACTAGTAGCCGTGGAACCCTTCGTCCTCAATTTGGTGCAAACTTAATACTACGTCGTATCTAAAATTATGCTTCTTTAAATTAATTTATTGCTACAATATATAGTTGCAGCAATAAAGCTGATGAGTTTAAATTAATGGAGTAGCTTATATACGACAACATTGATTATATATATATTTTTTTGTTCTTTTTTAATTGTAATGTATTTACTTAAAAACAAATCGAGAAAGTATTTGTATATAATGCTACTTTAATATCTAAGATTATATTATAGGGCACGTGCATATTAATGTACTCCGATCCTATTACGAAGATATTAAGTGTATGACTTGCAAATTTATGCTAATTGTATTGCCTAAGAGCTCAGCACAAGGAAAGAAAACGTCATAAAGGCTTTTAATCAAATTAGGAATATGATCTCTACGGTGAAATATTTTATACATACCCGGGTGTATCATGCACCCAACTAACTCAAAATTAGATTTTGCTCTTCGTTTGATGATTAAATAAAAAACAATTATCAAAATGAGAACAAAATGCTCATGGGTGTACCGTGCACCCGGAGGTATATAACAATCTCTCATTACAGAAGTATTAATTAGGCTAGCAGCTATTAGACATTATCTATCTTACTTGTCAAAAAAAAAAAAAAAAAAAATTCTTACTTATTAAAGACATTATTATTATTTTATATAAGAGCTGGAAACTACATTATATTACTTAATTAATCGCATATGTTTTAGACTGCTCAACCTTATTATTTCACATATAGAGAAGCAGATCATAAGTTGTAATTTATTATTTCAACCATGTTGTGTTTACTAAACGGGCCGTGAGCGTACATTTATTGTGAATCGCTAAACATTGCCCGCAAATCTCCACATAAAGCCCACAAAAAATTATTTATGACGATGTCGAGGCGGCAAGGGAAAGAGGTGGCGGCTCCGTAGTTGTCGAACCTTTACTCTGAACTCACACCCACAACCTTTCCGCTTTGTATCAAACTGAGTGGCTGTATGGAAATCTCTTTCTTCTCTTTTGCGATAAAGGTCGCATCTCAAAATGCGATCCATTCTACCATCCCGTTGAGATTTATGAGTTACTACTACCAAGCAAAATCCAGCTGTAATTGCAACCTGTTTTGCCCAATCAATCCCTTGTTGAGCATCTTCAAATGGACCATCATGTCCAAATATCCCACTGTAATTATTTCCGTCTCCACCATAATCCTGCATCAATTATATATTATAATAAATATTAATTCAAGCTTAAATTAATACATTTAACACAACATTAACACATAATTAATATCTACATTTTTAATTTGTAAATTTCATTTCTACATTTAACGGATAATACATTTACTTTCTATATTTACACAGAATTAACACAAAATTAAAAACATAATTATGTATAATATTATTCATACACATACAAATTTGAAACACAATCATTTATAAAAGTATTCATACACATAAACAATTAAAACATAATAATATATATTAACACAAATCTAATTTCCACATCATAAATAAAAACATAAAATTATTAAACTTAATTTCAAAAAAAAAACATTTTGAATTTTTAAATTTAAAAAAAAAACCAAAAATAAAAGAAAAAAAACCATTTCGAATTTTCAAATTTAATTTAAAAAAAAACTTAATTTAAAACCATTTCGAATTTTCAAACCATTTCGAATTTTATTTTTATACAATTTCGCCATTTCAAATTTAAAATCATTTCGAATTTTCAAATTTAAAACCATTTCGAATTTTCAAATTTAAATCCATTTCGAATTTTCAAATTTAAAACCATTTCGAATTGTCAAATTTAAAACCATTTCGAATTTTCAAATTTAAAACAATTTCGAATTTTCAAATTTAAAACCATTTCAAATTTTTTTTAATACAATTTCGAATTTAAAAAAAAAAACATTTCGAATTTTCAAACTTAATTTAAAAAAAACCATTTCGAATATTCAAACTTAATTTAAAAAAAAACCATTTCGAATTTTCAAACGTAATTTTAAAAAAAACCATTTCGAATTTCCAAATTTAAAACCATTTCAAAATTTTTTTTAACACAATTTCGAATTTTCAATTTAAAAAAAAAAATTAAACAAAAAAAAAAACCACAAAATAAAAAAATAAAAAAATACACTGCAGGGCGGCATCTGGCAGAAACGCCAGAGCCATGGACATGGCGCCTGGCAGGGCTGCCACAACCATTGGACTGGCGCCTGGCCAGGACGCCTGTCTGGTGGTTCTGGCTTCTGAGCTGGACGCCGGTACGGTGGTTGTGGCGTCTGGCTTGGACGCCCATGCTACGGTAGTGGCGTCCAATTTAGGCGGCGACTCCACTGCACAGGCACCTCTTTCAGATGTCGTTACGTACAACGTCAATTTTAACGGTACTTTACCTTGTTTTGTCGACGACGACGTACCTCCGGCGTCCCCCGCATCACCGGCCCGCCCTCCGGTCTCCCCCGGCGACCCAGTACGGCTCCACATTTTTTAGGTCGAGATTTGTTCACTTTGACTACAATTTTAGAAATGGGCATAATTGTCAAACCAAGTCTAATTTGTGGGCTTTATATGGAAATTTGCGGGCAACGTTTAACAAATCCCCATTTATTTCCTAAGCTAAAATTTTCACAACCATCGGCGGCCAATGTATGTTGCTTTGCATCTTATTTTGTTTGATTGGCGGAAACTCGAGTGAGAGTTAATGGTTAATTTTTAAGGTATCGTGTGAATTTTTATCAAACATTACGAGTACATGTTGAATTTTTGAAACTATAAGGGTATATGAAAATTATACAAATCGATCTTGGGTTTTAATCATAAGCTTAATTTTTGGTTGAGTTGATCTTTTAACTTTGTGTTGGATATTAATTGGGGCTCAAACCGCATTCACATGAAGGACATGATAAAGTATAATAAACCGATCTTAGAATCGTTTAACTATCATTTTAAACTTTTTGTTGAGTTGGTCCTTTAAGTTTAGCAGTATATATGTCACAAACATTTTAGGCCACCTATAATTCAAAAATATAAATAGGATAAGATTTTCCAAACCTGCTAATCAGCTTTCATTTCTACTGCCGGCTTTGATTTCCCAGCCACAACTATAGTTATCATTGACTAGGTGCACTAGCAACGATGTGATCTGATGTCACTGCTTTCGTTAATTTGAATACAATATATTAATTAATATATATACTAAATGAGAAAGACATGCTATATTGTTTAGGGTATGCCCTTTATAACAGGTAAAATTAAATGACTTCATAATTTAAAGTATAGCTCAAATTTATTAACTTAGGATGTGTTAGGATTTTAAATGACCCCAAAACTTATAGTTTGCTTTATTTTTTTCTTTTTCTTTTTTATTTTTTTTTATTTTTTTTATTTTACTAATGTATGATTAAGCCAATGCTTTTAAAAATACATGATATTAATTGATATTGTTGGGTATTTTTAGTTTCCAAAAAATAAGATTGACATTTTTTTGTCTACTTGATTTTGAGAAATATAATTTGGGGTAAGGGCTATTAAGTTCGTGTTTATGAAAGATACGCTAAGTTCAAATAAGTCCAATTCAGTAAAGGTAAAGGTTGTCCAAGTTTATTTTTAGGAAATTGATAAACATAGCCCTAAGCACTATGTATAAGAAGCTAAAAAAAGGAAATATGAGGATAAATTAACATTAATTACACCGATCTGCGTGATTTTGTCATGAATTCCAAACTTAATTCCATTTTAGAAAGTATATATAATGCTTATATAGAGCCCTAAAAGGTACATATATCATTACCCTTATTTTTATACCTAAACTAAATTTTGTTGAGTTTTGATTAATGAAAATTCGATAAACTGAACTGTTTGAACGCAATTTAATTCACAAGCCATGCTTTGAGGTTCTAAGACATGTGGACCATGATATTCCTCCCAAGTCCCAAGCACACAAAAAAGAGAAAGAGACACCAAATTAAAAGAAGGAAGAATTAGTTTAAGTGAAATTTTGACAGAGAAAGTTTATGTCCAAAATCAAAGAACGTCAAAGGAGAGTGCAAGCTACAAAGGTGATATTTTGCCAAGAACTAGACGATAGATTATATGCCGTATACTTAGAAAACTAAAGTCAACTAGCTTTATTTTCGTGCTAATTGTAATTGGTATCTAGCTTCCACTTATTGGTAGAATCACCTACTTTTCTTAAATGATACGAGCAACACGACCGTTGGTTAAAATAATAACACTATGATATTAATGTAGTCTAATTTTTTAATTGGCCAATTATTGGCTTGAAGAAAATCTTTAAATAGCTTAGTGACGTAAATGAACCATAAATGTAGGTATTTGTTTCAAGATATGTAAATTTATTTAATTCTTATGTTGTCAACTTGAATTATAATTGGATCTTGCTAACAAACGCCCCGGAGTATTAGATAACCCTTTAAAATAGTTCTTTAAGAGGTCGTTTGGTTCACTAAGTTGGAATGGATTGGTATGGATTCTCATAATTGGGTGGTATATATGGATTCTATATTCCTATACCAATCTAAAGTTGTTTGGTTTTATCATGGAATGAATTATCATACTTGAGTGGTAATATGGATTATAAATCCTTAGGGGGAGGTGGGTATGAGATTTCAAGGGAATGAGGTGGAGTGAACTCCCCCAGGTTTGAGATTCCATACTTAAATAGTCCAACCAAATAAATAAAACCATGGAATGGATTCTAAATCTATTCCAACCCATTCCAAGAAGTTCAACCAAACAGTCCCTAAATGGTGTTAATTTGGGAATGCATGCCAAAATCATGTTAAGAAAATAATGCAAATTTTCTATTTAATCAAATTTGAGGGAGAAATAAATTACATAAACAAAATGTCTATTTATACCAAAGTGCAAAAAAACACAACCCCTCTTTTCTCTGAGTTATTTTTCTTCTCTCAGATTTTCTCTTGAAATTATTACATACAAATGAAGGAAATGCTCAATTTATAGTTTTTCCTAAAACAACCTAAGCCATTTAAAATTTAGCCTGCAATATTTATTACCATTAGTTATTTTTCCCTATATTTGGAAACACCTTTAATTTTCAATGGTAATGCATGGTTATTTAATAACCATTTATTTTTTTCTTTATGTTTCTTAATTATCTGCCAACAATCTCCCACTTGAAGACTGATTTCAATCTGTCTTCACACCAAGGAGTAGAACCTCAACTAGTCTTCTGTCATTTTAAGACCAATTGATCTTGAGCATAATTTCAACTTGTCAATCGTCACTGTTTTCGTTAACATGTCTGCTGGATTCTTACTTCCAAGAATCTTTTTAAGAGTTAACACTTCATCTTCTAGAAGAGACCTGATAAAGTGATAACGAATACCGATGTGCTTTGTTCTTGAGTGAAACGCCGAATTCTTTGCTAAATGTATAGCACTCTGACTATCGCTATACAAAATATTATTCACTTGTTTGAACCCCAGCTCATCTAACAAACCTTGAAGCCATATCATCTCTTTACTAGCTTCGGTCACTGCCACATACTCAGCTTCTGTAGTGGATAAAGCAACAATCTTTTGTAGTTGGGACATCCAACTTACGGCTGTATTTCCAACTGTAAATACATAACCCGTTGTTCTCTTTCTATTATCGACTTCACCGCCAAAGTCTGCATCAACGTAACCTTGTATTTTCAATTCACCTTTACCAAAGTACAAACACTTATTAATTGTACCTCGTAAATACCTCAAAATCCATTTAACAGCTTCCCAATGGACTTTTCCTGGATTGGACATAAACCTGCTTACAACTCCCACTGCATGTCCAATATCTGGTCTTGTACAAACCATTGCATACATCAAACTTCCAATAGCCGAGGCATAAGGAACCTTGGCCATATATTCTTTATCTTCATCTGTCTGAGGGGACTGATCCTTTGATAGACGAAAATGACTCGCCAACGGTGTACTAACAGGCTTAGCATCACCCATATTAAATCTCAGAAGAACACGTTTGATGTACTCTGATTGTGATAACTGCAAAGTGCCTCTCTGCTTATCTCTTGTGATTTGCATTCCTAAAATCTTCTTTGCTGGACCCAAGTCCTTCATGTCAAATTCCTTTGACAATTGATGCTTCAACTTTATAATATCATTCATATCAGAACCTGCTATTAACATATCATCAACATAAAGTAATAGGATGATATAACTGGATTGATATCTCTTGAAGTAGCAAAAGTGGTCAGCGTTGCACTTCTGGAAATCTTCCTTGTGCATGAAGTTATCAAACTTTTTGTACCATTGTCTTGGGGCTTGTTTTAGCCCGTATAAACTTTTCTTAAGTTTGCATACCATCTGCTCTTTCCCACTTTTTATAAAACCTTCTGGCTGGTGCATGTATATTTCTTCATCAAGATCTCCATGAAGAAATGCAGTCTTCACATCTAACTGCTCGAGATAAAGATCTTCAATTGCAACAATACTCAACACTGTTTTAATGGTATTGAGTTTCACAACAGGAGCGAATATCTCATTATAATCAACTCCTTCTTTCTGTTGAAAACCTTTGACAACTAGTCGAGCCTTATACCTCTTGGAATCATCGTGCTCCTTTTTTGCTCGATATATCCATTTGTTATGAAGGGCCTTCTTACCTATGGGTAACTCAGTTAGTTCCCATGTCTGGTTTGAAATCAGGGATTGCATTTCATCTTTCATTGCAAGCCCCCACTTGCTAGCATCTCTGGTCTGGGATGCTTCATAATAATCTTCTGGTTCCCCATCATCAGTTAATAACAAATAATTCATATATTTTCTATTAGGCACATGTGGTCGAGTACTCCTTCTTAGGGTAAGAGTTGGACAAGAAGGTTGTTGTATGTCATTTGATTGCGATGTACTGCTCTGTACAGTCTGTTCTTCTTGTTGCGGAGTACTTATGATAGTGTACTCTTGCATCGTACTGTCTGGGACATAATCTTCATCAATGAATGTAGATTCTTTTTGATTTGTTTCATAACTCTCAATTTTATGCCTATCTTTGTACATGACTCTCTCATTGAAAATTACATCTCTTGAACGAATAATCTTTTTGCTTTCATCATCCCAAATGCGGTATCCGAACTCATCTTCGCCATAACCGATAAAAGTGCAAACTTTTGATTTAGGATCAAGCTTATTTCTGCCTTGATCACTAATGTGCACATAAGCTACACAACCAAATACCTTTAAGTGCGACAATTTAATCTCTTTGCCGCTCCATACCTCCTCTGGTAATTTGTACTCCAATGGGGTTGATGGTCCTCGATTGATCAAGTAAGCTGTTGTATTGACTGCTTCTGCCCAGAATTGTTTTGGTAGACCTGACTGTATACGAATGCTTCTGGCTCTTTCTGTCAATGTTCGGTTCATCCGCTCAGCTATGCCATTATGCTGAGGCGTACCTGGCACAGTTCTTTCCATCTTAATACCATGCTCGTAGCAAAACTTCTTGAATTTGGTGTCCTCATATTCTCCGCCATTGTCGGACCTGAATCTTTTGATCTTCAGACCTGTTTCATTTTCAACCCTAGCTTTCCATATCCTGAAAACTTCAAACACTTCGGACTTGTATTTTAGAAAGTAAACCCATACTTTCCTAGAGTGATCATCAATAAAAGTCACAAAGTACTGTTTTCCACCTATAGACTGGGTGGTTGTTGGTCCCCACACATCAGAATGAACAAGCTCCAATTTTTCTTTCATTGGAGTTCTTCCATATGTCTGAAAGCTTACCCTCTTCTGTTTTCCAAGTATGCATTCTTCACACATGTCTAAATTCACAGATTTTAGACTAGGGAGTTTTCCAATTGAATGCATGATCTTCATTCCTTTCTCACTCATGTGACCAAGTCTTTGGTGCCATAACTTGGAATTTTCATTCTCTGTTGCAACTGCAATCGAATAACACGCTCCAGCTGTTAAATAGAGAGTACCATTCTTTTTACCATGAGCAACTATCATTGCTCCCTTTGAAATCTTCCAATTATCACCTTGAAAGATTATAGTGTAACCTTCACGAGCCAACTGCCCAACTGAGATCAAGTTCTTTCTTAGGTCGGGAACATGTTTGACATCCTTCAGCTCCCAAGCTGACCCATTTAACTTAATTTTGACATTACCTTGACCAAAAATATCACAAGGTTGGTCATCACCAAGGTATACCTGTCCAAGGTTTCTATGGACATACTTCTCAAAAAAGTTTTTATTAGAAGTAGCATGGAACGATGCTCCAGAGTCTAATACCCAAGACTCTTCTTTGCTCTCCAATGAGCATATCAACGCATCATCACCTTCTCCGGTAGAAGTGACATTTGCCTCTGCCTTCACTTCTTTGCCTTTTGGTGTTCCCTTGCACTGATTTTTATAGTGCCCAATCTTTCCACAATTCCAACACTCCACAGTCTTTGAGTTTTGGAAATTATTTGGATTCCTTGCACTGATTTTTATTTTTATCGTAATGTGGACTAATTGTCAACCAAGCTCTTGATACCAATTGTTAAGAAAATAATGCAAATTTTCTATTTAATCAAATTTGAGGGAGAAATAAATTACATAAACAAAATGTCTATTTATACCAAAGTGCAAAAAAACACAACCCCTTTTTTCTCTGAGTTATTTTTCTTCTCTCAGATTTTCTCTTGAAATTATTACATACAAATGAAGGAAATGCTCAATTTATAGTTTTTCCTAAAACAACCTAAGCCATTTAAAATTTAGCCTGCAATATTTATTACCATTAGTTATTTTTCCCTATATTTGGAAACACCTTTAATTTTCAATGGTAATGCATGGTTATTTAATAACCATTTTTTTTATGTTTCTTAATTATTTGCCAACAAATCACGTGTTAATTGGTGTAACTAATGTTTATTTCAACATAATATTTGTACTTTTAATTATCTTATTCAACGCTCCCGGAATATTTGTTAGCTTTTACCATTATAATTTAGTGACCTATTTTACGCGTTTTTCCTAAATCAACCTTATTGGTATAAAAAAATTATGTCATCCCGTTGTTTAAAATGTTAGACCAAAATGTGGCCTGGTTTAACACTAGAATGCGATTTTGATCTGATATATTTATGATTGTAAAGCAAATGTGAAACGCTGGCGACTTGGTCTTGAAGTAGGTTTCTGCATCATGTAGAGTTTTATCTTATTAGGAAGTTCTTGATATAGGTGTGTTGTTATTTGTTAATTTGCCTAAATCTAAGCAAGTAAATGAAGGTAATAGGTAATAGGTAATAGGTAATAGAGTAATACCAAGGGTATGGTATTCTTGTATATTGTTGTAACCTTATTTTATAATATAAATAAAGTGCCCCTCTTTATCAACAAAAAAAAAAAAAAGGCTACCATATTGAGCAAGCTATGTTATTCATCACTTAACATGGTATCGAAAGTCACCTAATTTATTTTTATGCATAATTATATTCATTGCCATTAGTTCATTATCTAATTGTTGTAGTTGTATTCAAATTAATTTAATATCCTAATCACGGGCCAATAGATTAAAGTTGAAGGTGAAACTTCATATAATATTTTTAAATAGATAGTACATACTCCGTGATTATGAACACGATCAATTATTAATTAAGGTGGTTCCTTCCCACACACACACATATATATATATATTATAGAAATTAAAATTAATGAAATGGATGTCATGATCATGAAAATTTTAATTAATTAACAAATTTGTAACTGGGGCCCCTCCACATTAAGATATTCAAGCCCTTTGAGTAATAAGACAACTTAATTTTTAGTATACAACATCAATAATCATGGACCATGCATGCATATGCATATTGGCCTCAAAAGTCAAAACATTAGGCTTATAAGCACTAATTATTCCTTATATTTTGTCCAAATAATTCCCTATATATATATATTTTTTCTCTTCTTTTTCTTTTTCTAACTCCCAATAATCTGATCTTATAATCAAACACACAAAACCAAAAATAAAATAAATATAGTAGATCGAATATATGATGGAGCTACGTTTGAGCAATAATAATGTTGCAAGTTCTTTGATGTGTATTATTACAATATCATTGCTATGGAAAGCAATTATTTGGGTGTGGTTGAAACCAAAGAAATTAGAAAGATGCCTTAAAAAACAAGGGTTTCGAGGCAAATCTTATAGAATATTGTTTGGTGACACCAAAGAAATTGCTAAGATGGTGAGACAAACCACTTCTAAGCCAATGGAGCACTTTTCAAATGATTTTGTACCTCGGATCTTCCCTTTTCATCATCAAATTATCAAGAACTATGGTATGATACTTTGATCATTATTATAAATTAGCTTGATTTACAATTTTACATATTATAAGTTTATAAATTATAACATAATTCCATCTTTTGTCTTTATTAAATTTATTGTCATATTAACTTAGGGCCAATCCAAAAAATATATATATAATACACACATATATATATATATATAGGCGCATGTTCTGTGTTAAATTAGTTATTTTATGTGTGTAAAGTTGTGTGCGTCTAATTCTTACATCTATCCATTATTCAAGTTGATTAGAGTTTTGAAGTTTTGAGGATTGTTTTTGTTGTTGTTGATGTTGTTGTCTTGTTTGTGGTAAGTCTATTGAAATCATAATAGTCAATACTTCGAAAATGCTAAAGGTCACAATTGTGATGAAACCTGTCACAATCTTATGAGGTTGATGATATGTCGAGTAAGGATGGTACGATGACGGGTACAGAAATTGAAAAAAAAAAAAATTATATTACAATACATTAGAATGAAAGATTTTTAAAATTGACTTTTCTGATAAAGCGAAGAAATTTTTAGGAAAATAGAGATTCCCAACACAAATAAATTATTTTTACTACTGACATTTCGAACAATTTTAATTAGGTCTAAATTTTCAACCAACTTTTTTTACCAAGTACTCCATAATATCATATACTCTGTATAATATATTTATGAAAATAATTAGATACATTTTCTCCATAAAATTCGGACAAGAAAGATTGATATCACTTTCCTAGATTGTACTTCTCAATTACATCAATTGAAACGTCTCTTTAAGACCTAAGTTGGAAATATATACTTGTATATGCCAATGAAAACTATATTTAGTGGATAACTATGAAGCTATCTATCTATGGCTACAGTGCTACACAAGTTCTATTATTCTTTCACGATTCTCATAAGAGTCATATAATTAATCTTGTTAGTCCATGTTACACGTCACTCGTGATATTATCGAACTATTATTAGTTCATTCTGAAAAAATATATACTTGTATATACTACTTATGTATGTTCATTAATATTTTTTTAATTATAGTACTAGAAAGCGAAAAAAAAAAGAGAATTGGTCAAAAGTATATACTCCCTCCATCCCACAATATAGTTCCTGTTTTCCTATTTAAGAGACCCAAAATGTTATTCCTGTTTTTATTTTTGGATAGTATGTAAAGACCATTATACCCTCATTTTTTTTAAACTTTATTCATTGATCTGAACTTCCTAATTTACCATTAAATTATCCACTTGCATTGTACCTTTTAATTTTCCACTTTCTCTCCCTAACTTTTATCTATAATTGTACTTTTCACTTTTTTATCCTTAAATTATCCACTTGCCTTGTACTTTTGTCTAGGTTTTTTCCACTTTTAATGTATTTCTTTTACTTCTCCTCTAATTTCTTATACCGTGAAAAAAACACAATAGGAACTGTATTATGGGACGGAGGGAGTATGTCTTTAACTCTTTATATATATACCTTGACATATTCAAAGTAATTAACCTACTATATGGAGTACTTCGTAAAAAGTAAAAGGGAAAATGTTTAGAAAATTGATGACATACAGTTCTAAAATTTAAAATGTCGATGTCAATCGTGAAAAACCTCTATAAACATGTACTTCGTACAAAATATGTGCTTAAAGTCTCGTAAAAAAAAAAAAGTATGTGCTTAATAAATTTAGAAGTATATTGAGTACTTATTATTTTAGATAGGATGAGTTGTTGCAATAGTTATTAATGTTCTATATGTACTTATAAATATAGAAGTATATATACTTTAAACAGGATGAGTTATTGCAATAGTTATTAATTTAATTGATCATTTGACAACTATCTAATTAATTATAACTTTTTATATATTTATTTTATTTATTTTTATTTTTTAAAAAAGGACGTATAACCATTGTTAATAGTTCTATCTTCTTGTTGTTCGTTTAATATGATTAGATGGCCTCGTGTAAAAAGAGATGGCAACTTTGTCACTCATCACTTGGCTACGGTAATTCCTTTCGGGGTAGAACAGGTGTGGGAAAACTTTTGTCCCCCAAATATTACTATGTATGTATTCATGGATAAGCTAGCATTAATATAAGCCTAGCTCGGTCTTCTTCTTAAAAAAATATTGATTGTGTCCCTATTCCAGCATGAGTACGTACTTGTATTACTTTGCTTTAATTAATTATAACAAAGAAAAATATAGTTAATTGTGATTATAAAGTTATAATTAATCAAAATGTAACATTTTAGAATATGCCTTGAGTCCGTTAAACTCATATGGTAATGTTTTGTGGGCTATGATTTTTTTAGGCCTATTATTTTCAGCATATCCATCTTATGTTTTGGGAGTACCAAGCTATATATATATATATATATATAAACTTCTTTGGTATTTAACGTAACAACTATTTTGTAATTTGTATTCCTCAAGATCAGTATAACAAATTCTCCTCTCGTATATATGTTAGATGATGTAGCTAACTGATTGTTACGATCACATATAGTATATATGCTCTAATTTGTTGATTTCTTTAGTTTTCTTACATTTATTATAACAAAAATAATAAAATAATAATAATAATAATAATAGAAAATGTAATTTTATAAAATGCAGGTGATAGATCATTCTTATGGAACGGACCAACGCCAACTGTGATGATAACAAAACCAGAAGAAATAAGAGAAATAATGTTAAAGATTTATGATTTTCCAAAAATATCGACTCCACTTTTGAAGAGGCTTACTAATGGTTTGGTTAGACTCGAAGGCCATAAGTGGGCCCAAGAAAGGAAATTGCTTAATCCTGCCTTCCATATGGAGAAAATTAAGGTTTATTTTTAATCTATTAAAATAAATTTAGCTTACATTAAAAAAAAATAAATAAATAAATAAATTAGTCCATAATAAATTTTTACGTTATACTCCTACAATCATAATAGGCTAATAGCTAGCAGAGGTATATAGTGTCGAAAACTAACTCAATCGATCAATCTAGATTTGACCTAAACCAAAGTGATTAAATATAAATTTCAGCCTATATGGGCAAAATAGTTTAACGTGACTCAAGATATATCTAGACTCAACCTAAGCCCAAGTGATTAAATATAGATTTCGAATTGTATGGGCACAATTGTTTAACATGACTTAAAATAGACTCGACCCAATATTCCAAATTAATATCTTTACGTACTACGATTGGTTTTTGATTAGGCATGAGAATTTTTAAAACATCACTTCTTGCTTTGAAAGTGGAGGGAGTTTGAAAGATTAAAGTTAATTATTCCTTCTTCATAAAAAGTTCTTTCTATTTTAATATTTTAATAACATAAAATTGTTTTTTAAACAGAAATAACTTACTGTTAAGAGATGAAAGGAGTATTACGATAAACAACTAACTAGTACTACAACTAGTTTTGTAGGAGTAAAATTTGATCGGACTAGAAATAGGGATCGCCTTGTAATCAATCATTATTGACGTAGATAAATAACCAAAGAAAAATATGCATGACCATTTAATATTTTCTCAATTACAATTCATAATTAGCATTTTGTTACAACTTTGAATTATTATTTTTTTAGCTTATGCTACCAGCATTTCATGCGAGTTGCAATGAGATGATCCAAGAGTGGGAGAAGACGACACCCGAAACGGGATCTCAAGAGGTAGAAATGTGGTCATTTTTACACAATCTGTCAGCAGATGTAATCTCTCGAGCTGCATTTGGAAGTAGTTTTGAAGAAGGAAGGAGAGTGTTTGAACTTTTAAGAGAGCATACTTCTATTACTGTACAAGCCATGCAGTCAGTTTATATTCCTGGATCCAGGTAATTTTATTATTTCATTTCAATAGGATTATTTTGGTCATTTTCATATTGTACATACCACACACGTATGTATACCAAGGCTTTGTTCTCTTCGATCACCTTACAAAAAATATTTCAATTCAATAAAAAAATAAGTTCACTTCAGTGAAATAACTTTTAATTAGTGAAAATTAATAACTTTAAATAAGAAATATGATATACAATCATTAAAAATAATTTCAGTTTAGTATAATTAATTTCAATTCAGTAAAAATAATTTAAATTCAGCAAAAATGATTTAAATTCAGTAAAATTAAAAACAATTTCAATACAACAAAAATAAGGTAAACCGAACAACAGAGTCCTAATATACTCAGATGCAGTTGCGATTGTGGTAACACTCGCGAGATCACTCCATCGAGTTAATCTTTGGTTGTTACTTAGATTGGTATCAAGGTTTCTCATTTGGTACTCGATCTGTCTTTAGGTTTCTTCCTACTAAAAGAAACAAGAGGGAGGCAAAAATCGTTAATGAAATGGAATCACTGTTAAAAGATATGATTCAAAAGAGGCAAAAGGCAATGGAGAATGGCGAAGCAGCTAAAGATGACTTGTTAGGGTTATTGCTCAAATCGAACTTAGAAGGAGTACAAGATCATCAATTATTACATGGAAATTACAAGCAACAACAATTTAAGATGAGTATGAAAGAGGTAATTGAAGAGTGTAAAATGTTCTATGTTGCTGGACAAGACACCACTTCATCGTTGTTGGTATGGACTCTTGTTTTGCTAAGCAAACATACAAATTGGCAAGAACAAGCTCGAGAAGAGATTTTCGCCATGTTCGGTCACAATACACCTCATGTTGATGGCTTAATCCAACTCAAAAAGGTATGTATGTATATATACATGTCTGTAATTTTGTATATATATTCATACTTAGCTTATTAAGAAGGAAATTGGTTTTGTTTTGAATGAAGTAATGTTTCTTATAGATAATAATTAAGCTAACCGAGCTGCAGACTAGTTAGGTAATCAAAATATCAAAGACGTGTATCAAAAGTCCGAGTAGATAGGTTAGTTAATTGTTTTAACCATGCATCATATACATCTTGCATATTGTACATAGTTATATATAAATATATAATCTAGGTTACCGCTTTAATTAAACCATCTAGCTATTTGTTAATGGCTAATTAGTTATTATAACTAATTAATTGTATATTTATATAAGAAGGTACGTGAAAAAGTTCACATGAAATAATATACGTTGATTTATTAGTACGTAATAGAATAATAACTGTAAAAAATTAAATATTGTTTGATCAATAACTGATAATCCATTGCTAAGCATATATGAAATTAAGAATTACGATGATTGATCGACATTGATGTATGCATTATTATTATGAGCTTTAATTAATTTGTTTAGGTGAACATGATACTTCATGAGGTTCTACGACTATATTCGCCGGTGTTTTCCCTAAATCGAAAGGTTAGCCACGAAATGAGAGTAGGCGATATGGTTCTACCGGCGGGTGTACATGTTAATTTGCCAACTATTTTTATTCATCATAGTGAAAAATTATGGGGTACTGATGCAAAGGAATTTAACCCAGAGAGATTTTCACAAGGAATTTTGAAGGCCACAAAAGAAAATAATATGTGTTTCTTTGCATTTGGATGGGGGCCTCGTATATGCATTGGATCGAATTTCGCGATGATGGAAGCTAAAATGGCATTGGCAATGATTTTGCAACGATTCTCCTTTGAGCTCTCTCCATCTTATGTTCATGCTCCTACTATAGGTTTTGGAACTCTTCGTCCTCAATTTGGTGCTAAGTTAATTTTGCATCGTATGTATAAATTATAGATGTTCTTATTTCATTTAAAATTATTATTGCTCACATGTAAGTTTAAAATTCTATACTTTCTAATATAATTGCAGCGATTGACGAGTGATTTTGTTATGCATTCCAAACTTAATACTCCCTCCGTCCTCTTTTGTTTGTCACTTTAGCTATTTTGGGTGCCCTTAAATGTTTATCACATTTCATATTATCATAATTATAAAAAAAAAAACTTGTATACCCTTAATTTTTTTTGTCCTTATTAAGTCCTCTTCCTATTTTACCCTAACATTTTCCATAAAAATTGTGCCAACTTTTGGCTAATTTAATGTTTTACACTCTTGAATCTCTCAATTTCTCTTTTCCGTGTAATTTAATAACTTTTTTAATTGATAATGTCTCTTTCCCATACACTTTTATTACTTTATTGGTTGGAAATTTCACTTTCCCATATACTTTCATTACTTCACATTCTCCACCTTAATTCTTGTGATTTTCCTTCAAAAGTGACAAACAAAAGGGGACGGAGGGAGTACTATTTTAATAATATATTAATTAGTTATCTAACGCTCCAGGGCGCTTGTTAGCAAGATCCATAATAGAAAAGAGCAATATCCTCCATGGTAAAGCTTAGGGAAGCTGCAAATGATATAATTATTATCTGATGCACCCAATCAAGCGCCGGGGTTTCCCTCTTAATTATAAATTGGAAATTCACAAGCTTGATATAAAATATGAAAGATGCAAGGTTTGTTCACCAGTGTTATGGATCGTTACAACAAAGCCATACAGAAATGAGATAAGATCATCTACGTACGAAAAAAGTGGGTTCAATCAAATGATTAGGAAGCTAAGTGCCGAAATTGCTTTAGAGCAAGTTAAAATGTGGGTTGAGGATAACAATATAATCGAGGCAAACACATCCTTTGGATTTGGATGCAGTAGTTTACATTCACACAAACACACAAAAATTGCTAAGAGAGAAAAGGAAATTGCTAATTAAGGGCTTGACGAGTTTACATTCACACATTCACACAACACTATGTTTGGATAACACTTGTGAAGGGAAAAGGAGGGGAAGGAAAAAGAGAGAGGGGAAAGGGAGGTGAGGGGGAGGGAGGAGGTGACCTTCCATTTTCCCTCCAAATCTCTTCAACAATGGAAGGATTTGGTTTATTTAAAGGGGAAGGAAAATGGATCCTTCCAATTCCCTTCCCTTTTCTCCTTACATTAGGTATCCAAAGAAAGGATGATGCATCCTTTCTTTTCTCTTCTCCTTCTTTCCCTCCATTTCTCTCTATTCAAACATAGTGTAAAAGTATTGTTGCTAGCTTAATGCATACCCTTTTGTTGTGTCAAAGACACTTATTTTTAAATGGGTGGTAGCTCTTCGTGTTTTGGGTATGAAACAAGAACACATAGTTTTGAGTTCATATTGCCATTTTCTATTCAACTTTCTCACAAATCTTCGGACCATATAAAGATAGAAAATAAAAGGCGACTTGTCAATAATCGGAAAATTACAAAGGCTTGAAACTTTTATTGTAAGAAATATGATGATATGCTTGGAATCTGATTTCGGGTCTTGCAATAGCGAGCGATCGATAGCTTGTGAGGTAGCTTAGTAGCGGTTCGTAGGCAAATTTGGAGTTTCGACGAAATTGGAGCTATAGCAGCTCTTAGTCGAGTGAGCTATAGCTTACGGAGGTCAGTAGATGCATGCGGCTGCCAAGCGCAAGAGTCAAAGTCGCAAGTGTGTGAGTGCGCAACCTTAGAAGTTGCGCACGGCGGGGTCCGCACAACTCTGATTGTTGCATGCGACATTTAATACTGAAGCAATTAACGTTTTTCTTCGTGTCTTTTGTGATCGTATTCCGAAGTACTATGCAATGTATACATAGAGTCTTTGTTGTGAGTTCTGAGAGAGGTAATAACATTAGAAATGTGAGAGACAATCAATCTGTATTCTATGATTGGTCTCAAATCTGATCTGAATCTGTAATCTATTTTCCTAAGATAAATAAAATTATTACTCTCGCCTGCCTGTGGACATAACCAACGCGTTGTTAGTGAACTACGTAAACCATCTATGTATGTTTTTCTTATTAATTTTACATTCAATATTTGTTTTTTCGTGCATCTGTTATAACATTAAGCTATGCTGGAAGTGAGATTGAAAATAAACTACCTATCTAAGGAATTAGTGCAATTGCATAAGTTAAAGTATTAGATCTATTTGAATATATACTTGCTTTAATTCCAAGGTACTTTGCTACCTCATTGATAGTATTCTAGATTTGCATTCTCGAAATCATTTTGTATTAGACATGCATATTATGACAAGGCTAATTAATTCTTTAAATTTAACTCATCAAGTCATTTTTTTTTCTTAATTAAAGCAATCAAATTTTATAATAATTCAGTTAGCATGATATGGGTTAATTCCATAGTCCCCTATCAATAGCAACGGTCTATTTATATTAAGCAATTGAGAATTGGGTGTTCATTACATAATAAACAGTGTCATGTATATATATCGTGATCTGTACTAGACATGATAGTTTAAGCAAAAAAAAAAAATGTATGTCATCTCCTATTGTTTTTTTGAACAACGAAACGGGCTATTTAATTAATTAAATCGAGGTCCGCCAAAGCTTGAAAACTTTGGGGGAAAGAAGCAGTAAAAATATGAGCAGAATTAATATCTATTGCCCATCTTGCAACTAGATGGGCTACCGTATTACCGGATCTTTTCACATGAACACATTTAAAGCTATTAAGAGAGTTACAAATACTGAAAATATTCTCGAAGAAAATAAAAATAGGAGCTGCCCCTTCCTGATGTTGTATGATTACACGCACCACATTGACAGCGTCACATTCTAGCATCACATCCATATACCCCAAACTTCTCGCCACCATCAGATTAAACAAGGTAGCAGCAGCCTTTGCCATAGCAGGCTTCCAGTAGTAGCTAAGAGGCTTCACTGCAGTAGCCAATACAGCCCCATTCCTGTCCTTGATCACATCACCTAACCCTACTCTCGCATCACCAAAGATCGCAACATCCACATCCACCTTGACAAATTGACTAGCTGGTGGCACCCAATGTGAACCAAAAGGTACATCAACAGCAGCAGGACTGCCACCCCGCACCCTAGTATTGTACACCCCATACTCCTCACTCAATAAAGCAAAACCTATAGCAACCATCACACCATTCACTGCCTCCCTCATCTCCAAAAATCACCTTGTTCCTGCAATGCCACGCAGCCAATGCTAGGGAAGAGAACACATGCAGCTGGGCTTTTTCAAGCCTACTTGCTACCCAAACAAACAACTCTCGAAAAGAAGTAAAAGGAGCATCAGCGAGCATGTCACCGAATTGGCTATGAGCCCAAATTTGAATGCTATGTTTGCACCTAAAAATCGAGTGCAGTATAGCCTCCTCCATTGCCCCACACACTCCCACACCTCTTCGACTCTCTAATATGTCTCTGGTATAGCACCTCCATTACACCCAAAAAGCCTTTGCACGCACGCCAAATAAAGTGACTTAACTTTGGTGGCCCCATCTAAACCCCACACCACTTTCCACAGATCACTCTCACACGCACCATAAAACAACTCCCATGTCCTCATGTGCCAAGTCTACCAAGCCAATAAGTTGATCGCACTGAGAACATTCCATCAGAAGTTGGCCACCAAAACCTTCTGTCACTCCCCCAACTGCTAGACAAGGAATATTTAAAATAGCTTTGTAGTCTACTTCATCAAAACATGCCTCACCTGCTCATAATTCCAATAACCATGCTCAATGTCAATCAACTCACACACACGCATACTGACATTGCTATCATTTCTCGGAGTAGGCACACGGTGATTACCATCCCTAGGCAGCCAAGAGTCATCCCAAACATTTATCGATGTCCCATTTCCCATTCTCCATTTTGACCAATCCTTCAAGCAATAGAGCCTTAGCCCCCCAAATACTTCTCCAACTATAGCTTGGATTATGACCCCCTAACAACCCCAATAAAGTCCGAATGCTTAAAATACCTTGCTTTCAAGATCCAATACAAAAGCGAGGAAGTATCATTGCACAAACACCATCCTTGTTTCGCGAGCAATGCTTGATTGAAACATTTCATATTCCTAAAACCCAACCCATCCATTGATTTTGGAAGACATAAAGACTCCCATCAATGCCAATGCATTTTCCTCTCCGATTCGGAGGGTCCCCACCAGAATTTTGCAATGATAGATTACATTTCATCAATTAATCCATCGGAAATTCTGAAAATGCTCATCATGTAGGTTGGGATTGCTTGGGCCACTGCCTTGATCAACACCTCTTTACCCGGACAAGACAACAACTTTTCCTTCCACCCTTGTAGCTTCTTCCAAATGTACTCCTTTAGACAAGTGAATACGGGTTTTTTCGATCTTCCAATAATTGTCGGCAACCCTAAATACTTCTCATGTTTGTCCACTTCACGAACCCCCAAGGTCTCAACGATCTCCTTTCTTCTCTCCCGGTCAACACATTTACTAAACGCCACTTCTGTCTTGCATAGATTAACTTTCTGACCTAACGCTCTATCATATGTACTAATTATATCAGCAATTTTACAGCATTCATGCAAAGTAGCTTTAGCAAATAAAATACTGTCATCCGCAAAGAATAAATGGGAAACCCTCGGGGTACCTCTACAAACACGAGCACCATGAATAATACCATTCGAAGCCGCTTTAGAAATTAACCCCGAAAAAGCCTCCGCACAAATCAGGAACAAATATGGAGATATAGGATCCCCTGGTCAAAGACCCAAAGATGGAATAAGCGAGCCAGAAATCGAGCCATTATGCTTGTAGGAGAAGGAAACACTCGATAAGCAATTCATAATCCTCCCAATCTAGGTAACACTAAAACCCATCTTCAGCATGACATTAGAACCGCTGCTAATCAATTACCCTACATTTATACTAAACCCTCCTTAGCCGCCCAATTCATTCATTACACTCTCTCTCCCCCTCTTCCACCTTGGTTTTTTCTTACTCATCTATCCTCATCGGGGCTTCGGATTTGAGTTTCTCACTCATCCTTACCGTAGCTTTGAGTCTCACACT